CTTTTCCGCCTGATGCGCAGCGTGCAGGCGTTTTGCTGCCCCGCTGCGCGCGGGCGCTTTTCCGCCCCTGACGCGTGGTCCGCGGACGCCAGAACGGATTAACGGTAATTACATTGAACCTTATGGGAAAATTTACCTTGACTTGCGAGCAACTCGACTTGTGATCAGAGTCACGGAACGGATTAAGTTCGTAAGTAGAGGTACCACTGTATTCACAAAAGCGGTCTGATGTCTTACAACATATTCAGGTTAGTGGATTATTTGGAATTTTGTACACTTATTGCTGAATAAAGGAACAATAAATGATATGCAAAAAAACTCCTCTTACCATTATGCAGTAAGATATACTTAATTCTGGTTTATAAATTAGGTCTATATTTGAACAATTTCTCTTATTTTGCATAATTTTTGCTGCTTCTATGGATCATGATGATGACAAGACTCTAAATGGGCCATTGTTCCACCTTAGTTTCTGAGATTTACCAGATTCTGCTGAAACATATTTGAATTTCTCTCAGACCATGAATGGCTATTTTTTAAAAAACGTTATCAACAGAAATTCCCAAAGAGCACTGAATGACGCATTCTGCCACTCTTCTGACAATTATGATACATGCAAAAGTCCCAATTGTATTTCTCTATTCATTTGTTCAGGATAGATGTGAACGAGTGCTGCATACACTTTTAAGAGAAAACTCTGCTGCTACTTACACAGCGCCAAAAAGGTGTGTTTTGAATTCATCAAGACTAAAACTCTTCTTAGCAAGTCCTTGTTCATAATATAGTTTTTAATGTGATAAGTGTGGTGCTCCACACAAAAAGTAAGTAGCTCCAAAATTAAAGCAAGCAGCTGTGCTGTCTGGTAGTTGTCTGCAAAATAAACAAAACTCAAATTCAGAGAACCCTGTGAAGAATTACACAGATATTAGTTCAGAAATATGACTTTTCCTAATGCAGGCAGGTTTTTTTGTGATGTAAACAGAAAGCTAAACAAGTTGTCACCTTAAGGGAAGTTCTTAATGCACAAGCTGGGATTCTAAGAAATAGCTACCTTCTCTTTGGATTACTTTAAATAGCTTGCCACCATAATTAAGAAGTTGTCAAGCATATATAATTGTTATTCCCTGTATCAATTAGATTCTGATAATTTTTTTAGGAAATATCTATTTATGGATCTGTAACAGAACATTTACTTCACCTTTACAAACTACAATTCTGTTACTGTATTTTAGGGAAGCTATAACAGCAAAAATGGTATGAAGCAGATATATTCTTAAAATTTAAAATACCAACAGTGTTTTTGCTTAAAGGTAGAGCACTGTTGGCAATTTCTCCTAGATGATACCCCAAAACATATCTAATATGAAAGTTGGACTGTGAGTTACTTCTTTCCCTCCCAAACCAGGGGAAGCAGAAGATATTAATCTAAAACTTAGAATGTAATCTTGCATTTCAATTAAGTATTTTAAAGACTACACATATTATACACAAAGATTTTCACCTACCTGGGCAAATGGTATTACTCTTGTTTCCAACTACAGCATCTTTCAAAAAATAAAAGAAAAGTGTAAGTTCTCTGCTTAGTTTTCTGTGGTTCAGAGAAAGTATTTCAGATAAGAAATATATATCCCATTTCAGGGCTGGAAACTTTTTTTTATTTTTTATTAAAGATTTTTTTCTTAAGTAAGAAACAAATCTAATAAAAAAAAAGAGGAGGGAAGAAGGGAGGGAGGGAGGGAGAACGAACAAAAGAAAGAAAAAAAGAAAACTGAAGAAACTAAAGTAGATGTTTAGTAGATGACCTTCTCTTCAAT